CAATAACCAACATGGGTTTAGGTATGGAAAATCTTAGTCTTATTAACTTGTTGGAGGTCTATGACAAAGTAACAGATGTACGACGAGAGAGGGAGGGAGGGAGGGTTGGGTGGATTGCATTTTCTTAGATGCAAGAAGGCTTTTGATACTGTACTTCACAAGAGGCTGAGTTAAGAACTTGAGATTCAATCGGAAATAACAGGGAACGTACTCCGGTGAATCGGAGTGCCTTAGAGAAAGGAAGCAGAGCGTCAGGAAACAGACGTCAGAGTGTGGAAGAATAACTAACGGAGTTCCAGAAGGATCGTTGTTAGGATCATTACTGTTGCTAGTTTGCGAATGATAATGCAAATGGGCTTGATTTAGACATCTCTGTTTGCTGATGATGTAAAACTGATGGAATGAAAACAGATAAGGACAAAGGGAACTGGACGAATTGCCTTAATGATCAGATAAATGGTTGCTTCAATTCAACGTAATTAATGAAAGGTCAGGAAAGCTGGGAAAGGAGCAAGAACACCGGAAACATAGTGCGTATAGTCACTAGAGGGACAGACTGCAGACCTTACTCAGAGACAGACCTTGCGGTGAGCATAGTGCCCAGTATATCGCCAGAGGTTCACAGCCGAATAACTTCTGCAGTCAATGCTTGTCTGGCAAATCTAAGAGTAGCCTTCAGGAAGTGGAGACATTCCTCACAAATAGTTTTAAGAGCAGGTACGATAAGGCCTATGAGGCTATGAGGAAGCGATTCTGGAGAGTGGCAAGTTAAACTTACGTATTCATAAATTTCTAATCTCACGACTGATGTTAAATTATAGAACAATTAATCTTGGTCTGTATACTAAGAGATGATTACCTTGCTTACGATCAACAGCAGAATATTTGAACTCTTCAAGTTGGCCTGCATATCAAAGAGTCCCTCATCTGCACGGAGTTGCTGAACACCACAAATGAGGTAGTTGAAGTTCTGTCAATAAAGATCGAGAACCAAAACCTAGTCATTGTGGTTGTATATAAACCACCAGATGCAACCTCCCAACAGTTCAAGGAACAGCTACTGAAAATTGATTACTGTCTGGAAAAGAACATAAGAATGGAGGAACACTGCAGAAGGCCTACTGGCCCATGCGAGGCAGGTCCTTCCAGCTCCATCCCCAAACATCTTGCTGCTTGGTGATTTCAACCTAAGGCATACAAAATGGAAGAATGTAGCAAATAATGTTATAGCTGAAACAATCCCCGGAGGTAGTGCATATGAAAGGTCACACACACATGAGCTACTAAGTCTCTGCGAAAAACACACCTTAAGCCAGCAGATAGTGGAGCCAACAAGACTAGAAAACACACTTGACCTTATCTTCACAAATAATGAGGACCTGATAAGAGACATAAGAATATAAAAAACAACTAATTCCGATCACAACCTAATCGAAGTCCAGACGTAGATGCATAGGGGTCCTGATCAGCAGAATGCATGTACCTGTGAAGGTGTCTTCACAAAATACAACTTCAACAACAAGAACATCAATTCGGACCAGGTAAACCATGTCCTAAATGAAACATGTTGGGAAGATATCTTAAATGACATGGATCCAAATCAGTGCCTTGAGAGGATCAACTTCCTGGCAGCTGAAGCATGTTCTAGGCATATTCCCCTAAGAAAGAAGAAGAGCAGGAGTAAACTGGAGAGGGAAAGATGCTCCCTCTACAGAAGACGACGAAGAGTCACTGAGCTCCTCATGAGTGCTAGAATATCTGATACACGAAAGGAGGCGCTGACCAGGGAAGTGGAAACTATCGAACTTAAGCTAAATGACTTACAGGAACCAGGAGAGACAGGAGGAGCTTAAAGCTATTAGTGAAATTGAAAAAAAATTCAAAATATTTCTTTTCATATGCCAAAAACAAGGCAAATACTACATCTAGTATCAGGCCATTACTCAGACAGGATGGGACTTATACAGATGACAACAAGGAAATGAGTGAAATATTGAAATCCCAGCACGACTCTGTGTTTAGTGAACCACTAATCAGTCTGAGGATCGACGACCCAAATGATTTCTTCATGAATGAGCCTCAAAACTCCATAAATGTATGCCAGATTTCCGACATCACCCTAACTCCGATAGATTTCGAAAAAGCCATTGACAACATGCCCATGCACTCAGCCCCGGGCCCAGACTCGTGGAACTCTGTATTCATTAAGAACTGCAGGAAACCCCTCTCGCGTGCCCTAAGTACACTATGGAGGAGGAGCTTGGACATGGATGAAATTCCACAGTCACTTAAAACAACGCGTTGATATAGCCCCACTCCATAAAGGTGGCAGCAAAGCATTAGCTAAGAACTATAGACCAATAGCTCTGACGTCCCACAACATAAAACACTTTGAAAGAGTGCTAAGAAGCAAGATTGCAAATTACCTGGATTCCCAAAATCCAGGGCAACATGGGTTCAGGGCAGGTCGCTCCTGCCTCTCACAACTACTGGATCACTATGATATGGCCTTGGATGCACTGGAAGAAAATCAGAATGCAGATGTAATATACACAGACTTTGCAAAAGCATTTGACAAATGCGATCATGGCGTAATAGCCCATAAAATACGTGCTAAAGGAATAACTGGGAAAGTGGGGAGATGGATCTTCAACTTCCTAACAAATCGAACACAAAGAGTAGTGGTCAACAGAGTTAAATCGGAGGCTGCCATAGTGAAGAGCTCTGTTCCACAAGGCACAGTACTCGCCCCCCATCTTATTCCTCATCCTCATATCAGACATAGACAGAGATATACACCACAGCACCGTATCATCCTTTGCGGATGACACTAGGATCTGCATGAGGCTGTCTTCTGCTGAGGACACGGTTAACCTCCAAGAAGATATAAACAAAGTTTTCCAGTGGGCAACAGTAAACAATATGATGTTCAATAAGGACAAATTCCAACTACTCCGTTATGGAAAACTGGAGGAGATAATAACTTGAACAGAGTATACTACAGACTCTGGCCATACAATAGAGTGGAAAAATTTATGTAAGGAACCTGGGAGTAGTAATGTCTGAGGATCTCACTTTCAAGGATCACAACAGTGCCACGATCGCAAGTGCAAAGAAAATGATAGGATGGATAATGAGAACGTTCAAAACGAGAGATGCCAAGCCAATGATGATCCTTTTCAAATCACATGTTCTCTCTAGGCTGGAATACTGCTGTACATTAACATCTCCATTCAAAGCAGGTGAAACTGCAGATCTAGAGAGTGTACAGAGATGCTTTACTGCACGTATAAGTTCTGTCAAGCACCTTAACTACTGGGAACGCTTGGAAGTACTTGACTTGTACTCGTTGGAACGCAGGAGGGAGAGATATATAATCTACACTTGGAAAATCCTGGAAGGAATGGTCCCAAATCCGCACACAGAAATCACTCCCTACGAAAGTAAAAGACTGGGCAGGCGATGCAAAATGCCCCCAGTTAGAAGTAGGGGCGCCATTGGTACACTAAGGGAAAACACTACAAGTGTCCGGGACCCAAGACTGTTCAACAGCCTCCCATCAAGCATTAGGGGAATTGCCAATAAGCCCCTGGCTGCCTTCGAGAGAGCTGGACAGATACCTAAAGTCAGTGCCGGATCAGCCGGGCTGTGGCTCGTATGTTGGACTGCGTGCGGCCAGCAGTAACAGCCTGGTTGATCAGGCCCTGATCCATCGGGAGGCCTGGTCATGGACCGGGCCGCGGGGGCGTTGATCCCCGGAATAATCTCCAGGTAACCAGGTGTGAAGGTGAGTGCTCATACTAGGTGTAGGCGAGACTGACGTCACACATGTGTGTATGTGTTCTCATCTGTTTGTCGTTGCAGGGGTCGATCCGTAGCTCCTGGCCCCGCCTTTTCGCTGGTCGCTACCAGGTCCACAATCTCCCGGCTCCAAGAGTCATATTGTATCTGTGCGTGTGTGTGCGCGCGCGCTCACTCTCTTACTTGTACTCGCCTATTTGTTGTAAAGTAAAAGGACACAAGTGCAACTAATGTGACATTGCACTTGTGTCCTTTTACTTTACATATTGTCGGCAATTCTACCAACATTATTACACCTATTTGTTGTTGCAGAGGTCGATTCTCAGATCCTGGCCTTACCTCTTAATGATTTACCATCATTCAGTTATACCTAGAATATCCAGTGTGTGTGTGTAATGTGAGGCGCCGGGTAGTATGCGGGAGAATAGGTATTGTGCCTGGGGTGCCCCCAGACTCACGGATTTGTGCAAAATTAATGATTTTTAGTATTTGCATTGAAGGGTCGTAGACACTGATCCATGGCAAGTGAGAAACCACTTGGACAGAAAACTGTAACGCAGGCCAAAGATGTACATTTTATCTTCAGTCACATACTTAAGATGGTGTGAATCTGAAATATATCTTTCAGCTGTCTTTATCTGTACAAATGGTATCTTTCTCTTCTTAACTTTCAATATTCTGTTATCACTGAAATTTTAATATTTTAAAAACATCACTTTTATTTACTTTAGGCAATAATGACTGAGGTATGTAAATAAAAAATGTATAAACTTTCTTCAGATAAATGTGTGTAGATGTTTATGTTGATTATCCGGCTTGTTGCGGTTACCGATGTTCTACTTTACTGTCAAATGACCGAGCAACATGCACTGTTTTATAAAATTAGCCATTTTCAAATGTTAGTATATTATTGTACAATTTAAGCTGGTTACTGTGAGTCAATGTTATTGTATGATAGCTTGGATGGCATGTATACATCCAGGTTATCAATACCACGTGCTACAAGATGTGTTTTCCCCTCGACCGCAACTTCCTCCGGCTGGCAAGTTGCCTGTATCGTCTGGCCAGGATTGACGGGTCAGGGGAGTACGACTTTGTGGCTGCTGTTGAGAATGTTGTTCATTCTGCAACCTAAATAACTGAGGTTGAATATAACATGTATAGTATATAACTGAGTAACAATGTTTTTATTATGCCAGGGGCGGAACACACTCGTGGATCGTACTGTTGGATGGCAGGGGTGAGAAGATCGCTGAGCTGGAAGGTCCAGCCACCAACCGCTGGGTAAGTCATCCTCTTCACTGTATTGTCTCTAGTGCTCTCTCAAGGGAAGGGGGAGGAACCTTGATGTTAATGAAAGACTCTTGACCCAAGCAATCGGGGCTACTCTCCCCTTCCTCGGATCAAACCTGATTACCTCCCTTACCCCTGATGCTCTATGACCCTGTTATTAATTTCATACTTCTCCGTGATTATAATATTAGTAATTATTTTTTTGTTAATAAATATGATGAAGCAGCACATTATACAACGTTGTGTAGTCTCTATCATAAGTGTTGATGGTTCAGGATACAACTGTCGGCTTCGTAAACATATTTTTAACGTTTAATTGAAACTAAAATTAAAATTGAGCAATATTAACGATAAATTGTGTAGCCATCACGTATAGTTCCAGTTGGATTAAGTAAGTAAGTAAGTTTATTCAGGTATACACAAATACAGTTACATAGAATTATCATACATAGCAGCATATGTGTAGAGAACCTAGGATAACCCAAAAAAGTCAGACAGAGTGACTTATTTCCATCGATATTATTATTATTTTCATGGACGCTCCTTGCAACGTTAGGTAGTGTTGCAAGTGGGACATTCACCTCATAGACACTGCTGCGTGGTGTAACCTCAGAGCGTACTAGGCTATTTTGTGAGGAGGCGGTTGTTGTTGTAGGTTTGCCGGTACTTCCGGCCTGGGTGGTCTCCAGATGGCAACCCGGCGGTGACCTCCCGGGCGGGGGGTGTCGTTCATCTTCTTTCTTCTGTATTCTTTCTTGGGGCAATCCGGTTGGAGGGTGACTTCTTCTGTCTTGCGGTGACTCCCCAAGTGGGAAGTATCTTCTCGTTTAGCATCTTCCGCAGCATAGGAGGGCGGAGGCAGCAATTACAGGGTTCGTTTTGGAGCCACACCCCAGCTTTAGCAGGCAGCAAAGTGCTGGGGAAACTTGCCTTCACGATGATTGATCATTGACAGTCCTGCTAGATGAGGGTACAGTCTTCGGCAGCCCCATTCTGGAGAGTCCTGAATTTCTTCCTTGTGGTGTAGTCGAGTGCCACAAAGCGGTGACTTTTTAAGAGTAGGTTGATCAGGGATTCAGTGGTGAATGATCGAGTTGAGTCGCAGGTGAACTTGACTCCCGTTGAAGGACCACAGAAGATCTGTTAAGAATTATATTCTTGTTTTGTACGGGGAAGTTAACAGCTTAATGTCATATAGGTTGCAGTTAGCCCACGTTCTAACTTTAGTAACTGAATATAAGATGTCTTTAATTTTTAACTTAAGAATTAAAGACAACTGTTTAGTTATGAAAAGTGTGTGGCATGTGTACTCGCCTATTTGTGGTTGCTGGAGTGGATTCCCAGCTCCTGCCCCGCGCTGTCTCGGAACTTGCCACTTTGGTGATTCGCTCCCTCCTAGCCTCGACGGCCCCATCATACCTATTCTTAAAACTATGTGTAGCCTGCAGCCCACTTCTCAACCACGCTGACTGGAAAAAATGCTTCCTAACATCTCTGTGACCAATGTGTCTAACTTAAAGCTGTGCTCTCGAGTTCATTTCTCGCCACTCAAACAGCCTGTCCCTGTCTACCCTATCACTTCCTCTGAGTATTTTGTATGTTATGTTCCCTGGTTCTTCTGTCCTCCAACATCGTTAGAATAAATTCGATTAACCTCTCCTCGACTCTCATGTTCCTTAATTCAGGAAAAAAGCCTTGTTGCATACTTTTGCACAATTTCCACCTTTTTAACATGATTCCTCAGGTGTGGAAACATAGGACTTTTATTATCAGCAAAACTTCACTCGACTAATTCTAGCCCAGATTCTACTTTTAATATTAGAGTCTGCTGTTGCAGTTATCCAGTCCTGTGTCTTTGCAGTCCTCAGCACACTTTGTGCTAGAGAAGTAAACTAATGTCATCACAGACACCACGCATACCAATGTCTTACCATGGTCTTATACCATGACCCTTAACAGGATCAATTAGAGCTGTACTCCTCACATCAGGGCTAATTAAATGATTTCATTAATTCAACTCCGACCTTCTTTTCTTCAGATTTATCCCTATCATTTTAACCATAATTCAGTGATGACGAGATGTAACCCGAGAAGATGCAGCATACTTCACGACGGGTCTGACGTTTGTTGCATAAAAGGCCTTGAATGACTTTGTTGAGATACCTAGATGGCAACTCTTAAAGTTGCCAGACGAACATTGGATGATGTGAGCCTCAGGCGTTATACCAGGCACTATGCTTAATCTTAGATATTTCTCTTTCAGTGAAGTCTGTAGCCTCTGTTCCCTTTGTCTATACCCAGTTTCCGGTATTTTTGTTCCATTCCAGTCTGTATATAGTTTCATTTACTGGGGTTGAATTCGAACAACCACTTATCTGACCAATCTTGCATTTTGTCCAGGTCCATTAGGATCCTTTTTTTGTCCTCGTTTGTTTTATATCCTAAGCAAACAGGGATATACCTAAATCAGTCTCATCAGGAATGTCTTTCACTAACAACAGTACTGGTCTTTACGATTCTCGCGGAACTCCGCTAGCTCTTCTCCATCCTAACGTCTGTTTCTTGATAGTCATTCTTTACTTCCTTTTCCCCCAAGATAATCTGTGATCCGATCCACCGGAGTACGTTCCCTGTTATTCCCGCTTGCATATTAAATTTTTGGTCCAGCGTCTTGTAGGGTACATTATCAAATGCTTCTTGCAGTGTAAGAAAATGCAATCGACCCAACCCTCTCTTGTCTCACATCTATTACTCGTCATATAACTCCAACAAAGTTAGTGAGTCAGGATTTGTCATCTAAATAAATTCTGGTTATTGTTTATGAAACCACTTCAGAGTGTGTACTAACCTAGTTGTACTCACCCAGTTGTGATTGCAGGGATCGAATCATAGCTCCTGGCCTCGTCTCTTCATTGGCCTCTACTGGGTCACTCCCCGCACCATGAGCTTTGTCATACCTCTGCTTAAAGCTATAAATGATTCCTGCCTCCACTACATCGCTTCCCAAACTATTCCACTTCCTGAATACTGTGACCGAAGAAATAATTCCCAACATTCCTGTGATTCATCGTGTGTGTGTGTGTGTGTGTGTGTGTGTGTGTGTGTGTGTGTGTGTGTGCGTGTGTGCGTGTGTGCGTGTGTGCGCGCGCGTGTGCGCGCGCGCTTGCAGTTGTGCGGGTGTCCGTGCATGGTGGTTAGGTGTGTTTGGGTGCAAGTACTCGCCTATATGTGGTTGCAGGGGTCGAGTATGTTTGTGGGTATGTGTGAGGTGAGGGAAGGGGGAGGCTTAAACAAACATGAGTAACACACTGACAGTTCTATTGACTTTATAGTAGCACAAAATTTAAAAAAAAAATACACCTTCACTAAATTTAGCAGTCGATAAAATTTTAATTTTAACATTCTTCAAGAGTGCAGTGAGTACCTCGTAGCACTCGCTGTCCTTCTGAATATATCATTGGTACCTCACAGTTTAATGTTACTTAATGAGTAAGAAATATGAGCAACAGTTGGGCTTCTTTATTGTTAAGACGTTTAGCTTAAACAGTTGGCTTCATTCGAATATGATGTGAATATGATAATGGTATACAGTACAGCAGAAACAATGGAAAGGTAAGTGATATCAGTCCATCAACATTGAAAAAAAATACTTAATACTTTAAGGTTGGACTGTTCATATCATTCTTACCTCATCACTGCTTCTGCTGGCTCCTCTGTATTCAACTGAAGAAGCCTATTGTGTAGGCTAAATTTTTCGACAATAGGTTGCGCATGTCTTATTCATCTTGTCGAAACTGCATACCATTATTATAATTAATGTTATTTCACTGCTCACTAGTCATTGTATCTCATTACCACATTACTACTCACTGTGACAACGCTGAAACATTAAGTTTCCTCATTATCTTTAAGTGTTTCTTCCAACACTCGCTAACAAATGTCTCAAATCCATTTCCCCGTGACATCTGGCAGGACCTCTAACTGGACTGCTGCTCTTTTTTCCTCTCAGACTCATTCCCAGAGCTCTATATACCAGTCGTTTAGAAGGATAATTAAATCTGCGGAACACTACTGTTTTAAATATTTCCTTCAAATTCTAGTTTATATTAAAACATTGGTCAATAAAAAAATAATTAATCTTAAGTTCCCAAAAATCTCACAGGAAGAAATTTATTCTTTATATTACCATTAATGATGCTCCGTGTGTTGAGGTTTCATGTGATACTTGATGGATTGTGACATCGATGTTAATCATGTGACAACTTCACGACGAGGAATGTGTGATTGAGAGGTCATCCCATCAAGACTAATGTCACTTTCCCTTATCAGCAAGATCCACAATCTAGAGTTGCTCAATGCAAAGCTTTGTTCAACTTTTCGTAAAGGCATTTTCCAATTCACTGTTCATACTACGGATAATGAATGTATATATACGTATGCATGCACGTGTATATATATAATATATATATATATATATATATATATAATATATATATATATATATATATATATATATATATATATATATATATATATATATATATTATGCACACGCACACACACACGCACATATGCGCGCGCGCGCGTGTGTGGTATTTATGTATGTATGCAAACATTTTAAAAATGTTTGTAAATATTCTCGCTCGTGTACGAATTGTTAAATATATGTGTATGTTTGTGCTGGACCAGACTGTGATAAGCAAGACCGGAATCTTGGTGATATCTCAACTTGCGGTGAATTCATCGACCGATAGCTGTCATCTTTCCTAACTCAATGACTTATCAGTCATTATTTATAAAAAAATTTGAAGAGTTAGACATGAGTACAGTTATTAAACATGCGTACACACACACACAAGAGGCCAAGAGAGGAATATGAAGAGAGCAACAGAGCAATAGAGATACTGGCTGAGGTGGCAAGAAGATCTCACGCCAGCAGAGCAAAGTTACTGGTTATGGGTGATTTCAACCACAGGGAGATTGATTGGGAA